TCTCACGATGAGGATTATCGCACTCTGTCGGAGTGGCTCCTAGCCGTCGGGCAGACGAATACGTCACTTCGTGAGACGGTGGAGCGCCTTGCGCTGTTGAAAGCGAAATCGTTGCCTCTGTGCTCTGAACGAGTTGCTGGTTCGTATTCTGGGTGGCCGAGCGCTTTTGGGTGCCGCTTTGGCGCCAACGCTTCCGCGTTCACTTGCGCCCCTGGCTCCGGATCCCGGGACGGCTCAAGGAAGTTCACATAAAACACCAGGTGGGTTTGCATCCTTCTCGGAAGGTTCAGCGTATGCGCAAGCCCCCTCCCTTAACCACGACCATAAAATTTCTAATAAATCATGGACGGAGCTTTGTCTTAAAGACAGCAGAGACTGCATATGTAGGAAGGTTTTTTAGCGTTTATTAACAGCAGGTCTCCGCCCTCAAAGTTTTCCACATTTTTCCGCTTCATCTATCTACATATTCTTTCTGCATGTCTTGGCTTCCAACCAACGCATCGCAAACGTGTCGTAGGACACTCAGTCTGCTAGATAAGAGGCCCTCGACTTCTCCAAAGACAGTAAGGGGCTGATATCAGCTGGCCGTTCAGCTTTTCCTCCTTCACCAAGCCCTGAGCCATGGGATGGCGGTGTCAGCGGGACGCGATTATCGTTCGCGTAGAATGGCGTGTAGAATGGCGTGTAGCCGGTACCGCATCATTTCAAGCAAGCTCTACGAGTGGCAAGATGGTGCTCCAGCGCTTCGGCGTCTTAGCGCAGACGCTGCGAATTACGTCTTTAACGACGCGATTCACAAGCTTAGTTCGACTATCGGTCTGCGGATAATCTGCTGTTGACATGGCCAGCTTGGTGCCCAGCATCCTGAAGATTATACGCCATAACTCCCCAGTGAAGCGCAGTCTCTGTTAGAGAAAATTGACTACCAGAGTCCATGTTGTCGAAAGGCACGATCAACAAACAGCGACGCTGTGTCCATACCGTCGATAGTGTCTGGCACTACCGCAATATGAGCCATCTTGCTCAAATAGACCACAAAACCCACCACATCCCGTTGCCCGCCGAGTCCTTCGCAAGCCAAACACAATGTCCACTACCAACACCCGGAGGGTACCGGTAACCTGGGCCAGCGGCATCACCACATTCTGATAGGATTTCACCCTCTGAAACGTCTCACACGTGCGCACATATGTGCTCGTCTATTTGTACAGCTTGAGCCACCAATAACGACAACTCGCCAAACCGTACGTCTTCTCACGACCGAGATGACCATTAAATGGGGGTATCGTGGGCCGCATAGTGGATGCGATATTTCAAATCCTCATCACGAGGAACCACGATTCGTAATGTATCCGTTGAATCGGTGCTATATTACAGAACCGGTTATTCAATGAATATCGGTGTAACCGTGCGCGCAAACGCGCCAACAATTTTTTGTCCGAGTTTCCAAACTCGTTGCTCCCGAGAGCCTGTAGCCGCGCGGCGCGGATCAATTCCGTCACTGACGACGTCACCGCTGCGTGACGACGCATCAGCCAAAAAGAATTTTGGAGGCAAAGTATTTTTTTCGGCTAATACTTTGCCTCGAAAATTCTATCCGCAACGAAGGAGAGCCATCTGACCATCGTAAGACGACCGAGTCGCAGTGCATGGTGATGCATGATCTGTGTAGATCACAAACGGCTTGAAGCCGAGTAGGTGCACCCTGGACTTGGCAAGTGCGTACTTCATCGCAAGTAATTCCTTGTCGTAAAATGGAAATTCCCTCTCCGCAGCCTTAAGCTGGCGAGATTTGAACGCGATCACCCGATATCGCCCTTATGTGTCTGCTAGCAGCAGTGCACAACCGATGGCAAACTCCAAAGCATCACAGACAACACTTAAAGGACGATCGGGGTCTGACAACGCCAGTACTGGTGCATGATGGGGTCTGTCTTTGAACCCGTCAAAAGCCTCCGGATGTTCGGTGTTCCAACACCATTCCGTATCCTTCTTATGGAGATTCGACAATAGCCATACCATTCCGCATAATTTGCGCTATACTTTTGCAAGTAGTTGACGAGGCTAAGCCACTTGCGCAAGTCCCTCTGGTTCTTTGGAGCCGGCCAGTCCACAATGACCTCGACCTTAACGAGATCCGCTTGAAGGCTACGCTTTTCAATGAAGCACCCTAAAAAGTGTATTTCCTCAACGCCGAAGGTGCACTTATCGGTATTAGCATACAGCTTATTCGTATCGAGCACCGCTCTCAAATGGACGATATGGTTTTCCTCATCTGTCCTCCCGTGCTTCGCACGACTGTGGACGAAGAATTCGTCGAGGTATATTTATGCATAGGCCCGGTGGGGCTTGAAACCGCGTCACAAGACGATTAATGCTGCTGGTGCATTTGACAAGCCCCTAGGGCATCACCAGCCACTCCCCAGAGCATCCCGCTCGGAGTACTCATCGCTGTCAGCGGAATGTCACTCTGTCTCACAAGCAGTTGGTAATGACCATCGACCAAGTCGAGTGCGATGTACTTGATACAGCCAACCATATTGTTCGAACACCCTTCCTTGAAATCGGCGTCTGTGTCAAATGTTGGCAGCATTTTGCTTATTGTAAGCGTGAACGGTACGCCACTTGCCGTTCGGCTTCTGGTCACAAAACGTGAGTGTCAAATTGTATTTACTTGCACAGACCATTCCTGCCTCGTGCTTCGCACAGAAATAGGCGGCAATGACGTCACGCTGCTCCCTGGACGGGGGCCATTGGCGTGTTACGCAGTATTTGGTTCCCGGATCCAGTTCAATTTCATGATGTACACCTCGGTCCGGAGGTAGGACCGACTACGGGCTTTTGGAGAC